TTTTCAATTCACAGTCTAACTGAAACCACTTAACAAAGAACACCAGCTCTGACTAACAGTCTGCAATGTGTTTCTGAGTGGACTGCCATCTTCAAAATTGTATGAAGACTTGATGCTTTCAAGGGAATACAGCAAACTTCCATACAGATAAAAGGCATGCATCTTTGTGAGAAGCCCTCTAGGGCCATTTCACACTCCAAATCCTTCTCAGCATTACCCTTTAACATCCTTGTGAGACCTTCAATGAGCCTCAGACACATTTCTGACTATGTAAATTAGTCTTTTTCTTAAAAAAAAACTCTGAAAATGGTAGGCTATGATAGGGAAATGAAAAAATAAATGAACGAAAATCAAAACAACTTAAGAAATACTTCTTACACCGCTCATTCTCACTTGCCTTTCAGACAAATCACTAAACTTTTTCTAACGCTGAATCCCATTTGTCAGCATTGACCCTCCTGCCAGCATACATCTTTGTTTTACCCTTAGTTATATATCTTCATTCCAAGTCAGAAGGCCAAATAATCAAAATAATCAGATGCAGCATGTCATTCCTTCAAAATGTCTTTACATGATATCTTGTTCCACCCATACACCCATACATGAACAAACTTATATTATAACTACTTATAATAATAGTAATCAAGACTGTAATGGACCACATACACAACATTTTTATATGGCTGCTAACAAAGAATGACATTGAAACCATATGTGATACATCTGTTAGCATCAAACTGCACCTTATAGTTGTGACTGTAAAATGTTCTTGATGAAGAAAAGCAAGGCACATTTCACAATTTGTTTGTTATTTACAGAAAATTTATAGCTTGGTATAGTTTTCAGATTTTTGTTTGACTATGTCAGACTAAACACTGGTAGTTCTTGTAGAAGTAAAAATATTTCTTAGTGCAATAATAAAAAATGAAAATAAACATTTGTGCGGTAATTTGGCACATGCATATAAGTAAGTGTTCATTTTAACATGTAACCTCTATCTGCCACCAAGCTGATAGCATACTTTCATTTTTACTGAAAGCTTCTTTTCATAGTTTCCAAATTGTCTTGATATAAAGAAACACCAAGATCACTAAATGCTAGATACATACACTGCCTGCCCCCCAAAAAGTTGCCACCTGGATTTAACTAAGCAAATAGGTACGAGCCTCCTATTGGTTAATTACTGCATGGGCGATTATCTTTGCTGAAGTGATGCACCCATCATGCCTAGTGCCTAGTCATCAATGCAATATCTTGTTGAAAAATTAATGTAACACTGGATGGAAATAGGGCAGCACGGTGGCGAAACTGGTAGAGCTGCTGCCTCTCAGCGAGCAGGTCCCTGGTTCAAAGCCCGGTCCGGGGGCCTTTCTGGGTGGAGTTTGCATGTTCTCTCTGTGCATGTGTGGGTTTTCTCCGGGTACTCTGGTTTCCTCCCACAGACCAAAAACATGCATGTTAGGCTGATTGGTAACTCTGAATTGTCCCTAGGTGTGAGTGAGAGAGTGAATGGTTGTTTGTCTCGTTTGTCTCTATGTGGCCCTGTGATGGACTTGCGACCCATCCAGGGTGTACCCCGCCCCTCGCACAGTGATTGCTGGACATGGGCACTGGCAACCCCCGTGACCCAAAATGGAAGAAGCGGGTAAAGATAATGGATAGATGGATGGATGGATGGATGGATGGAAATAGATCTTGTGACATTGCAGAAGCTTATTGAAACAATGCCACAGTGAATGCATGCTGTAATATAAGCTAAAGGTGGTCCAGCAAAATTTTAGTGTGTGACTTTTTCTTGGTGGCAACTTCTTTTTTAATTTTTTGGCCAGGTTGTGTAATTTGGATAGACCAAATCCAGTCTTAGTAATTGTTAACCCTGCCTTGTGACTTTTCACAACTGTCTACTTTGTGGCTGTGTTGCTGTTCACACCAATTGCCTCCACTTTCCAATATCACTTACAATCAACCACTGATTATCCAGCAAGTATGAAACTGCACCATCTTACTGAAAAGGTGGAATCCTGTCACACTGGCATACAGTACTTGAAGTCACTGATTTTGTCAGAACCCATTTTGAATTAAAATTGTTTGCAAATGTAGACTCGATAGATTGGTGCTTGAGTTGGTACACATGCAACAATGGACCTGACTGAAACACCTACATTTAACAATAAACAGGTTTGTTTAAATATGTTTATCTATATAGTGTATAAGTAGCCTGCAAAATGATCTGCTTTGCTAGTTTTATCAGTGGCACAAATTAATAGAAAACACGGTTGTTCAGTGTCTACACTTGAAGATAAAAATGCTTAAATCAGTCAATCAATAAATCAGTTTGACATGTCTTTTGTCCATTTATTAGTGCAATTTTGTGAATCATAAACCATTTGCACAACAATTCAATAGTTATTTAACAAGTTTTGCTTTAACTTGGAAACCTCTACCACAGGGAGAGACAATACTCGTAACTACATTTTATAGATATATTAAAATGACTACATCAGTCTCTCTGTTCATCTGGATAAGCCATTTTTGACCATAACATAATGATTCCCATTGTTTTTATGAGTACCCAGGAAAAAAAAAAAAAAAATATATATATATATATATATATCAATCTGACATGTAGGCCAGGACACACAATAAGGAGAATTACTTAAAAAAAAAAAAAAAAAAAAAATTAAAAGTGCCCAGCCCTGGGCAGACATGTAGTTTGAATGTCTTACCTTCAGTGGGAATGGTAAAAACTTCTTTAGGGATGAAGAGCTTATCCTCGGCTGTTCTGGCCCAGTCCTTCATCCCTCTTCGTCCCTTCATAGGAAAGTTGATATCACTCGAAACTGCTGACACTGGCTCTCTCTGGATGGTTATCACTGAGCAAATGAGAAATAATAATAATAATAATAATTAAATAATTACATAACAAATAATGATAAGATGCATAGGTTATTAATAGAAAAAAGCTACAACTACATTCATTTTTTGTTGATGGTCAACAAACAGACATGCACATGAATATGACTGAATTTGACTAAGGCAATAATAAAAATAATAAAAAAATAAAAATAAAAATCACACACAAACTCTAACATGAAAAAAAAACAAACACACAAGAAAATACGTCCTTTTGCTAGTGATGAATTGGCAGAACATGAACTTACTGAGGTTGTTTGTAACCACTAGAAAACTCTGAAATGGCTTCTGAGCTTCTCCAACGAGGTGAATAAAATCCTCCAATATCCTCATCAGTAAAGCAGCACCGGGAGCGACCTGCGGATGGAAAGATAAAACAGATGAAAGGTGAGTTTTATCCTGCTATCATAATTAAAAGCCAGTGTCAACTTTTATCCATAGCAAGGCCATGCCTATTTATTATCAAGACCATTTATGGTGTTCCAGGTATGGCAATTGTGACTATGAAGAATAAAATACCCCATTGGGTTGCTTATTAATTAAGTCCACATGGCAAGTAAACATGTTAAATCAAGGACATCTGGAAAGCTCACATACAACAACTCTTGCAAAGATACATAGTCATGCATTAAAATAACATGGAGACACAGTATACAGGTGTGGTTGTATGGCTGCAATGATAACGTGAATATAGAATGAAGTCATAACAACCTTGTACAAGAATACAAAAACACGAGATTTAACACATTTGGTGCAGGTAAAGACAGACATTAATCTAGGATATTAGATGAAAATACACAACCAGGCATGCATATAGCACATATTCAAAGACGGTTTTACCTGGTGAGCATCCTCCCATTTTTCAAGATTTTCTAAGTCCAACATGTGGCTGACAATCTGGAAGAATTTCTAAACACAGAGCAAAAGTTTGCTGATGTAAAAGCAGTCTTAATATAAAATTGCCCCCATCATAAATTTATTCAAAACCCTCCAGCAGTTAATATTGTCGATATATTGCAATTCATTACTTCTCAAGTTTCACAAATACCTCTACTCACTAACAAAAAATCATCCAGAGTGGTGGAAATGAAAACTACACATGATGAAAGATCATGTGATAGTATTGCAATGGTTTGAATATCAAGGCCAAACAGATATCAGGGTTTGCACTACAGACATATTGCTGGTCTCAGTAGGGCGTGGCAACCAGTCAAGCCTAATATAAGGGCATCTTGTCTGAATTAATCCCATTCATATTTGATTGGGAAAATATGGGGGGGGGGGGGGGGTGTTGGCCAGGAAATAACATCAGTATAGTACAGGAAGTACATTGGCACACATAGTGAATGGGTGTTTTTTTGTCTGTTTGTCTCTTTCTTTGTTTTGAAGATTATATTAGTGAACAGTCTCAGAAGGGATGAGATTTGAGGAATGTCACTGACATGATGCTGTCCAACCACAGGCCCCTGAACCACCAACAAAAGTGACCTGAAGTCATGGATCCCCAAAACATAATTCCTTTGTAATGCCAGCGAGTCTTATTTTCACAGCATTGAGATAACTATTCAGCTTAATATCCTGATTCATGCTCAGCAATCCAGGTAGAAAAATGTAACAAAGTTAATCCAACAAAGTTAAGTCTGGTCCGCTGGACGGTTTCTTTTTGTTGAAACACTTTGTCTTTTATCAAAAATAATTCAGTTTGAGTTTGACAAACTTGAGTTTGTTGTGGCTCCTTGGACTGATCAAGCCTTTTGGATGAAAGATGAAACGTTTCAACAAAAAATAAACCGTCCAGAGGACCTGACTTAACTTTGTTGGATTTGTCTACCTGGATTATTGAGCATGAACTTTGAAACTAACAAAGTTAAGTCCAGTCTTCGAGGACTTGACTTAACTTTGTTAGATATTCAGCACAAATTAATTATTATTTTGTGTGTTTTTTTGTTGGACAACTGGAACCTTCACATGTGTGGGTCATCTCACATATCTCATTTGTTCCAACATCAGACCACTTGGGCATTTGCATGTACCACAGACCAACCAAGCAATTGCATATGTGGCCTTGTGCAACCCTATAATGTTCCCACTATCAAACTCTGTCAAGGGCTGGTAATATTGTCTAATGCACCTGAAAGGCTTTTGTATGTCTGATGAGCTTCACTCACTTTTTTTGATTGTCAGATGCTTGGAAAACTGCCTGACAACACAATTCCTCCATTTGTGATGTCACCACTCATGTCCTTTGGGGCATGTTCTAGATGTGCTAGGCAATTTCAAATTGGACAAATTAAATATCTAGTTCTAGTCTGCAAGTGTACCTAATTACATTCACATTGTTGGTTCTGGATGTTTACCATTTTTGTCAGTGAGTATAATACAAAATAAAAATACAATAAAAAAAAAGTTAAATTGATAACTGAGAACTAGTGTTTTCTTTCCCCCTACAAACAACAATGACACATTGTCATGCAAATCTGGTGGAATTGAAAACAGCTTCTACAATGATTCTTTTTTTTTTTTTTTTGTAATTGTTGTTTCAATCTGTATTTTGAAAGAAAAGGAAATGTCTGCATAATTTGTACAACTTGAGCAGTCTCAGTCAGAATCATGGGAGGCTGTGCCCACCTGCACGTCGTCGGGAGCTGGGATGTAGGTTGCTCTTTTGAAGGTGTCAGTCACATTTCGTAGAATCTCCGTGGAGAAGAGAAGGTCACCACTGTAGTAGTTCCTCCTCTGCAAGAGTTCCAGGAGACTCCGTACGATCTGAGACATGCCCTCCCCGGCCAGGGTCCTCTGACCCTTCGCAAGATGCTCTAGCAACTACAGTTTGGTGAGAAATAGAATTTAGGGGGAAAAACATGTTTAGGAAAGTTAATCCTTTCACTTCCACATGATGAACTACATGTTCAAATAACAAAATATCTGCAAACTGCAATAAAACATACCTAAACTGCATATGCAATACCATGAGATAGAATTTCAACATCTTCAACTGATTTTTGTCAATTTCTATTTTTAAAAACTGGAACAACTTTCAAGTTTCAGCAGAAAACGTTAATCACGTGTTTAAAATACATCACAGACAGGCTAAAATACCCCAAAACTAAAGATAAGCAAATATTTCAGTAATTGAAAGGACCAGTGTGTTTAACATATTTCTGTCTAGATCAAACTGCAACCAAAAAAACTATATATTTTTTTATTTACTTGCATGGCTTAAACTAAATTCATACTATGCTCTACACATTCTACATTACTGTAGAATAATATAGCAAACTAAATGGGGAAATAAGGCTGACATACTGGCAACATAATGAAAACCTATCATATTTCACACAATTGTCATTACTAAAATGATCAAATATGCAAAAAAAGAAACTGGATTATATTATCTATGATGCATATCATCATTAAAAGCTAACTCTTTGAATTGGCTTTGCCTTTTAATGTTAGTGTTTCTTCTTAAACATAACAAAACAAACAAATATGTTCTAGAAATTATTGAATAGGTTCATGAACCCTTCTAAAAATTATAATATGTAAACAGGATGTTATTGCATAAATAAACTCAAGTGAAAGCTGCACTATGCAAAGAACAAAAAAAGCATCAGTATTAGAGAAGGTTGTGCAAACACCTCATTTATAATCCAATAATTGGTTAGATGTGTCCTTTTGAACTGTCTGTAAAAGCTCTTAATGACACTTTATTGACTGAGTCTGCACTCGTGGAATACAGACAACACTCAAAAACCTGCTGTGGTTTGTTAAAGCAACATGGACTCGAGGTAAATGAGGAGAATTACCATATAGCTTGGTTCCAGATAAAAACAGTTTGAAAGACATGCAATGCAACACCGGTCCATAACGCACATGGCATGAGTAACATAGACATCTGTGAGGGCACCATTGATGCTGAGACTTTCAAGAAACATATGCAGCAAATTAGATAAAAAAAAGGACACTTTTTTATTTATTTAATATTTTTGCAGTATGGCTTCACAGTAATAGGAATCCAGTTGTTAAAATAACCCCCCTGTAATGCAAACTTGTCATTTATTGCGATCATGTAGTGCATTGTACATCATAAGGGGAAAAAAAAGGGCTTCAAAACAAAGAGGCAAAATACAGAACTTTAAATCAATCATAAAGTGTTTTATCAAAACCTTTTTGCGTAGTGTTTTTGACATCGAAATAAAACAGAGGTGTTGGCTGTGAGACGACAGGATATTTCAAAATGTGAGCATGTGTGCGGTGGATTTTTAGTGTTTGTGCCTAAAATAAGTAAGCAAAATGCAGAAGTTGGATCTCAAGAAGTTGGAGGTATTAAAATAAAGCCCATGTCTGCCTGTTAAATGCAGACTGAATGTAAAACAATCAGTGTGCTAGTAACTGGAAGAACAGAAGATTACAGCAACCACAGAAAATTAATTATTGGATAGTGGTGTTAATGAAAGGTTGCAATAGAAGCTAAGGGTGCAATCAGATCTGCCATGCACAAACGCTGACCCCCATCTCCCTCCGCCATCCTCGAGCAGATAGAAAAGGTTGGAGTTCAGAGAGCAGGAAAAGAGTCTCCCTGATGAACACATCCATTAGCTATGTTCATTAATTGATAAGTGTGAGCGCATCTCTCTGGAAAAAGCTAATTAGAGATAGGGGCAAGTCTTCAGTAAAGACACTATTTGTCTTCCATTTCGAGTAAACAGTTTTACTAAATGAATTTAAACAGAATTACATGATAATTATATAAGTTAACTTTGAGGTAGAGATTGACTCCTAAAAACAGATAACACTTCTTAAATTTACTGATAAAACACAGCAATGATAAACAATGTTTCAACATGTGTGTGTGTGTGTGGGGGGGGTCTTTTTCTTGTTCAAGATGGTGAAAACATTTTGAAAA